AACACACACACACACACACACACACTAAAATCGACAGTATTTATCACAAAAATCTCCATTAAAACACGATGCTTGATATTTCATACTAGACCACCACCACCAAAAAATAAAATAATAAATAAATAAAGAAACAATTACAAAAACTATTGATGGATCCGAATAATTCAACCATAATCCATACCCTGCCCGAACTCAACAACGCCGCCAAAAGCAAAGACATCCAGATCCCAGCAGCTTTGATGAAAAAAAGTTCTAGAAAGCAGCAGTTGGCCCCCAAATGCCCCTCCAACAAGACCGCCACACGAAGGTCGACGACGACCGGGAGCGGAGGATCTGGATGCCCGTCCTCTGCGCCGCCCTAATTTTTCAGCTCACCCACGAGCTCAGCCACAAGTCTGACGGTGAGACCATGTGGCTCCTCAACCCGACCGAGCCCTCCATCATCGCCGCCATAATCTCCTGATAGCTGCCAGCCTGGACATGGCTGCTGCTATTTTTTTATTTATTTTTTTTCTAGGTATAAAACTGAAACTACAAGTCAATTCGGTTTTGCATTTTATTGGTACCGAAATTATAGATTATGTATCTGTAAGGGCTTGACGTTTCGGTTTTCGAACTGATACTAGGCATAGCCACCGGGTCAACCGACCCGCCGACCCGGCCCGGACCTGGCCCGGTCAAACCCTTTGACCGCGTGTCCAAACCCGGCTCGGATTTCAAGCGGGCCGGTCCAGGGCCTTCTTTTTGTCGACATCGACCCGACGGGCCGGGCCGGGTCGGGTCCGGGAAAAATGAACTGTTTTTGAATTTTTCTTTTTTTTTTCTTGCCGGGTCAGACTCGGGCCCGGCACGGATTTAGGCCGTGCCGGTTCAGGGTCGAAGTAACCCAACCCTTCGGCCCGCCATTTGGCCATGTCTAACCAGGCATGTAAGGTACTACAACGTTTCTGAATAAAAGATGAGATAAATTCTGTAAGTACAACACTTGCCCTACATTTGAAGTTAAGTGACCAAATATCGCCAAAATGTGTTGAACGCGAATACATAACTAGAGTTCCATATCCAAATGCAGTTGAAAATTTGATGTACGCAATAGTGTGTACGAGGCTTGACATTCCACGAGCAATTAATTAGTGTGTGCATTCATAATAATGTAGACGTTGGATTAGTTTATGAGTAGAATAAATATGGTCAATGTGTAGTTGGATATTGTGATTCTGACTATGAGGGTGATTTGGATAAGTGACGATCAACGACTGGATACTTGTTCACTCTTACAAAAGCTCTAGTCAGTTGGAATTGGAAGTCTGCTTGACAGTCAACTTTTGCTTTGTCTACAAGAGAGACAGATTATGTAGTTGCCGAAGTTGTAAAAGAGGCAATTTGACTTCAAAGTTTGCTTGAAGACTTGGGAGCCAGTCAGAGTCACGTCATAGTGCATTGTAACAGTCAGAGTGCTATTCACTTAGCAATGAATCAAGTATTTAATGCAAGAATGAAACATATTGATGTTCGCTATCACAATGTGCGGGAGATTCTAGAAGATGAAAATGTTGTTTTGAAAAGATCAAGAAGACGGAGAATCCTGCAGATATGATGACCAAGGTAGAGACAACAATCAAGTTTGAACATTGTTTAGACTTGACTAACATTCTGCATATTTGAGATGATGCCGATAAGTGCATTTGGAGGCATCGTTAACAGATAGATTGAATAGTTGGAGTGGCAACAAAATTAGTCAAGGTGGAGAATTGTTAAGTTTTGATTAATGTTTGTCCCACATCGGATGTGTACCAATGATATGTAGGATTTTTTTATCCCTTGTCTTTTGGTTACAATTGAATCTTTCTCTTCTCACATATATTATAAGGAAATCTGTAACTGAGGAAATCTTAAATTGTGGGTGACAAAAATTCTATGGAGTCATCAGATGGTTTTCTTATGGAGCCATTCGCCACTTGATGTGTTGACACTTGTTTAAATTGTATTTATTGTAGGACATGTGTCAATATACTATTGGTGAATAAGTGTCGATGGCTCCATAAGTCTAGTCATCCGATGGCTCCATAGCAAAACTGTTGTGGGTTATTTAACACTAGTTGTATTTTGTTGGTGAGTTTAGTGAACTTGGCATTGTGTTGCCCGAAGACGTAGGCAATATTGGTCGAACTTTTTGTCAACTTTGGGTGTTCTTTTTCTTTCCTACCGTTTATTTATTGGTGTTGGCTTATTTTTGTTGGTGTTTGCCATTATTTGTTGTGGGGATATTTTTGTCCACTGTGCTTATTGTGATACCCCCAACAGCTACAGTACGAGCATCCACATTGGATTTTTTTTTTTTTCTGTTACAATGTCTATGTGGTTGCTAAAATCAATGTGCATCCGCATTGATTGTTATTTCGTCTATTACAATGAATAGATTTGTTAGAATATCACTTGTGAGTTGTCCCACTTTGGTGCGCTTCAAGTTTAGTGGGCCCGTACCAATTTTTCCCCAGTTTCTGTCATGGTATCAGAGCCCGGTTCTATTGGTGACCGTGCGATGATGTACCCGTCACCCAGCCGAGTTGGACTTGGACTTTCGAAGGACTCACAAGTGAGGGGGCGTGTTAAAATATCACTTGTGAGTTGTCCCACATTGTTCATACATGGAAGATAGACCTACCTTATAAGTCTAATGGGCTACTCCTCCTTCCACCAATTGGTTTTGGGATGGAACCCATTTGGGCTTCATATGAGTTTTCCCCGCTTATGGTGCGCTTCATGTTAGTAGGCCCGCACCCGTTTTTCCCCAATTTCTTACATGGTATCAGAGCCTGTTCTATTGGTGACCGTGCGATGACGTACCCGTCACCCAGCCGAGTTGGACTTGGACTTTCGAAATACTCACAACTGAGGGGGCGTGTTAGAATATCACTTGTGAGTTGTCCCACATCGTTCATACATGAAAAATAGACTCACCTTATAAGACTAATAGGCTGCTCCCCCTTCCACTAATTGGTTTTGGGATGGAACCCCACTTGGGCTTTATATGGGCTTTCCCCATTCATGGTGCGCTTCATTTTAGTGGGCCCGCACCCGTTTTCCCCCAGTTTCTTTCATGGTTTATAACTAATCAATTCATAAAAAGACATCTACCTGCTCCCACTTTTCTTTTTCCAGCTAATTAAAAAAAGTTAAAAAAATATGGTGTGTTTTTTTGTTAGTATTTTTTTTTTTATTTTTATTGTCCTATTTTAGTTTATTTGAGTTCGCCTTCTAGTTTTCCAGTCAATTAAATTGATTTTCTTGTTTGTGTGCGTTTTGTGTTATTTTGCGAATTTTTGTACTTTTCTTGCCTAGTTTTACATTTATTTTGTAGAAAAATATTACTTGGATACTTTTGTCGAGAATTCACCGAACGAATTTCATACATCTCGAAGAACACAAGCCGAGACGGTCGGACACCCGTGGCCTGCAGACCTCTCACCCGTCGTCGCCGAGGCAGCGCTCCAGTCACCCACAGATGACTTTTGTTTGCCGTGACTCGTGAAGGCTCTGCGGCCCGCGGACCTATGAAAGACCTCAGACCCGCGACCGCGGAAGCCTGTCACGCCCCGACCCGTGGAGGTCACAACACATATTTTACAATTTAAAATCTCGATCAATTTTGGAACCCTAATTATATGGGGACTCGTGCCAGATCTGGAAATTACCAACCTTTAACTTTGAACACGAAAAGACCATCCCCGAAACCAATTCGAATGGCTCCCGGACATCAAAAACCTTATAGTAAATGGAGTTTCGTAGGATTTTTTTCCATTTTCCTTTTCACTTGCTCTCAGATTAATGGAGCCGAAATCATTGAGCTTGTGATTCTGGTTGCGATTGTAAGTTCTCAATTATCTAATATTATTGTTGTTGATTGATTTTTGTTCTTTGATTCGATTAACATGAAACTCGATCCGAGCATGAGGTAATTTATCCACCTAGGGCTGGAGATTTCGATTCTCGTCTTGATTTTGTGATGAATGTGTGGTGTTCATACGTGTTCGAATTGCTTCATTTATTTGATTAGTTGTTTGGTCACCATCTACTCTAAATAGATAACCTAGAATTTGAAGGAGATAGGGTATCCGACTTGATATGGCACATAAAGATAGCTTGGTTAAATCGGTCGTGGTTAGCTCGGTTTGTAGACCGAAGATTAGCTAGGTCATTCGGGTTAGAAGAAATAACGGCTCAGGTAGCTAGGATAATCAAGGTATGTCTATAACTCGACTGTTGATGAGCTCGGACAGTCTAGATATGTTTATAGCATGGATATCAAGGAGCTCAATATATGATAGCTCGGACATATAACTGTTAGAGTAGGGTACCCGGCGTTCCAATCTAATTGGACGTATTCTACTTGTAAATACAATCTATTGGAATTATATTATTAATAAGGCATTTCTTTATCTTAAGAGAAAGCATTTATCTTATAATTGAACTTAAGATAAAATCCCTAGATCACTTATGGTTATAAGGTATGGTTACGCATAGAGATGGTGATCATGGAACATACCTTGAAAGCCGTGATCTTAAATACAGTTCCAAGTCGATGGATGTTTCGAGATGGGATATCGAATAATCCATAAAAGACTTGCATATAGTTTGTATGCTTGTTGGACAAGAATGTTGCATTCCATCAACATTAGCGTAAGACGTAAGTACATTTATGTGGGTGCTTGTTAGAGAACAAGTTCACTGAACATGACCGTATGAAAATTCTTAATGAAGAATTTATTCAGTCGAATAAGAATTTTCATGTTACAATAGTACATGACTAATCCTAAGACTTGAGGCACAATGGTAACTTTGTGCATATTACATTCTACTTTGATTTATCCTTTTGGTAGCTAGCACTATCGTTTAAAGGGATAAGTTGGGTATTATGTTGATATGTATGGAAGTTTGTTAGTGGCCAATAAAGGATTCGACACTTATGAAGATAAGTGAATTTCCTATGTGTTTCATAGTTATTAATCCAAAGTCCTTGGCCAAGGCAGAGATGAATAGTGATTCATAACCGGGTTAATAAACATGAAATAGAATCATAGTTATTAAGTCAATTTGGGTTTCGACAAAATCATACCCAAGACTTAATCGGGAAATTAGATGTCGAAAGGATTTTACATGTATGGAGTTGTAATCGGAATAGGTTTACTCGCTATTCACTTAATACTAGATTCATGCTACTTGCTAGGTGTTACCATGATATGTGGGTTCATAAATTAAAGGGTTAATTCATGAATAAGAGTTAATAAGATTTAACTCAAATTACAAAGTGTTGTAAACCCACTACTAGTATTAAGGTGAACCTAAAAGGTCACACTAATTATGAACAAAGGTAAAGATTGTATTTCTAATGGTTAGAATTAATTGATAAATATCTAATTTGATTAGATATCAATTAAAGGAATATATTAATCAATAAGATTGATTAATTACATTTTGGATATTACTTTAGTAATTAAGGTAATTACTAAATTAATAAAGTTGAATTTTAAAATAGGATTTTAAATTTCAAAAATCCAAAATAATAATAATATGATTATTATAATATTGGGAAAATGATATAATAATAAAGTCTTGAGAAAGATTCTCAAGATTTATTATCCAATTATTATTTATATCTTTAAATATGATTTAAGGATTAAAATAATAAATATGATTATAATAAAATGGTTGTTGATGGTTGTTTGAACTACTTAACATATCTTATTATTTTCAAAGTCAAAAGTTAGTAAATACTATTTAAATAAAATTTGATTTTATTTAATATTACTAAATGTTGATTATTTTATGCTAAAATGTTTAGTATAAATATGTGCAAAATGGTTTTGCATTTAAGTGAAGTTTTTGATCCTAAATTTCTAAGTGTTAGAAAGAGAAGAAAGTGTTCTTCATAAAACTTCAAGAAAGAGTTCTTAAAATTCCCAAATAAAATTCATAAATATTCCTATACAAGAAAACCGAGTCTTTTCTACTAGCGAAGGAAAGTCGTCGGAACCGGGCTTCATAGGGTGGATACGTTTAGAGGGAAGACACTTGGATTCCTCTAGCGAGTAACCTCAAGTCGTTGAAGTTACAACCGGGAACCGATTCCCTCATCCATCATCAATAGTGAAGGAGTTCAAGACATTCGGTAAATATTTTTACTAGTATTTACTTTATAGTAACAAATCAAAATTTGTATATGATGCATGTTTTAAAGATGACGATCAGTTAATTCGCAATTAGTATGTACGGGTGTTGTATTTATACGATAAATACTTACTTTAAAAATTTTAAATTCCGCTGCGTACAGCCCGTACGGTACTATCGAACCCAACAGTGGTATCAGAGCCACGGTTATCGTCTTTAAAACAGATTTTGATTTGTTAAGACTTATGAGATAAGCAATATAATTAATTTTTTATATGATAAAAATATTAATTATAAAATTAAAAATCGTTTTTAAGCCACACGAGTCGTGTGACCTTGTCACACGAGTCGTGTGGCATGAAGAAAAATTTTGATTTTAGCTTCGTGATTTTCACACGAGTCGTGTGACCTTGTCACACGAGTCGTGTG